AAGATTGAAGGACGACGAGGCATCAGGCGTAAACGGTTTTCCTGCTTGCGGAATTTGCGCCAGTGGTTTAATATAGGAGAGGCAAGTGCAATTATCCGTTTGGCTCAAGACAGGGAGGAATTCCAATTGATGGTCGCCAACCTTCGATGAGGAGAAGGCACATGAAGAAGGTGCTCAAAATTTTAGTAAAAAATCATTTTTTTTGGAAATTTTCAAAGTAAAATAACTCCGTTATTTTGGACTTATTTGAAAAACGATAAAGAGAAAATATGTTTCTTTTATCGAGATCTACCACCCTTTAAAATACTTGCACTTATTTCTGGGATACCCTGTTTATAACAATACACGTGATGCGTATACGCAAAGTTGCGAACGACGTCAAGAATAGGTACCCAGATTGGCGCTGGCTACCAGAAAGCGGCAAACCTGCTTGCACTGTGTTCGCACACTTATGCAAAAACGCAGAATGTAGTTAAAGTACTATCTATGGTTAAAGGCAGCAACAGCTCATGCAACAGTTTATGTCGGTTATTTCTTATCATTGGCAACTGAAAAAGTGAGACAAAGAATGATCAATAGGTGATCGAATGATCTAAATAAAACGAAGCCGTTAATACCACAGATAACAGAACTAGTTAATATTGACGTTCCAAAACGGGAAAATTTATTCGAGGAATTACGGAATCTGGGAATCACAGAACATACTGATTGGGGGAATTACCGCCATTAGGAAAATACGTTTAGTTGTGTCCAGTTGTGTTCGAAAGCGATGAGACGTGGATGAGACTTGGGGCATTTAAATCATTCTAGAGGAACCTATTCTAGTTCTTGTCTAATCAAAACAAATAAAAATGCCGCGCTGTGTAAGCTCAAAAAGTGATGTTTGGAAGTATTTCGTAAAGGGACCAGTTATAAGTCAGTGTAGACTATGTCTATCTCATGTTAAAACATCTGGGAATACGACTAATTTAAAAAATCACCTGAAAAGGAAACACGAAGCGCTCTTTTTGCAATCATTTAAAGTTTCAGTGGAGTCAGCAGGACCAAGCTCACAGTCAGGGGAAAATTCATCAGTGAATGAAGTCATCCATGACTCAAGTTCAGAGGAACCAAGTGCAATCAAGGTAATCAGTATTCAGATAAAAACAAATTGTTAGGTAATTGTACATGAAATTGATACTGTTTTTTGTCAGGATCTATATCCAGATCAAGATGGAGATAATATTGGAAGTCCTTATTCATCATTTCCATCTACATCTTCAGCTTCAGAATCTTTTTCGTCCATGTCATCAAAGTTGTCTCAACAGAAATCACATACCCAACGTCAGCCTATTCAGCCTTTAATATCACATAGTTTTTCAAAACTAGAATCTTTTACAGGTAATTTGAACTAGAATCTTTGTAAGATGAATTTGGCATTCCTGCTTCTCTATTGCCTACTCCCATGTAAAATTCTTTTCTCTCTAAAATACCAAGGGCTCTCAGCTCAAAACCATTGAATGGTATTGCTGCATTGGCATTCATTGGTATTGCTGGTATGCAATATTCAATTTATTTGAAAAAAAAAAGATTTTTCTTTTTCTTCTTTAGTCGTACTTCGAGGCAATCAACAAAAAAAACAGCTTTTTTCATCAAAACTATTTTCCAAAACCGAAATCGCCCGATCAGAATTCGATCAAAAATTAGAATTGCGAAATACGTTACGATCGTATTTGTAATCGTGTTCGTTGTCGAACTGGTCGATAGTTTAGTTTCGTAAAACAGTATCCGGCTGCAGGTAGACATAGCTAGGACCATCATTAAAAAGCTCACAATGTGAGAAGAAAAAAGACGATAACAAATAATACGTTATTCTAAAATATGAAGACAACTATTATCCTGGAATTATTATGGAAGTTCATAATAGAAAAACGGGGCTTAAAGTTAAAACCATGCACCACAATGTGGTCTTAACTGGAACATTCTGATTACATTTTGTAGTACAAAGAATCGGCTATTATTGAATACTATATTAATTTGCTAATGCTTTTGTTAAGAAGCGATGATCGTATTCTGTTCAGTAAATAATTACGTTAACTACATAATAAATAAATAAAATAATGTTTGTGTAGGTACAATAAAGTTATTTAGTTAGTAGTGATGATATTGTTTATATAAATCTGTTACTTATTGCCATATGAATTGTATAATGATTTGTTTGAATTAAAAAAAGATATATTTATAAAAAGTATAGGAATATAATAGTTATATAGGTTGCCGCAAGATAAATAAATATATAGATATTAATATAATTATGGAATATTGGTCAATAACTGGGACATATTATAGTCTTTTACTGGGGCACACTCAATTTTATTTGGTCAACAATTGATACAATAGGTATGTACTTTAACTATAAAATGTTAAATAACTTATAAAATTAATATTTATTGAATTATTTTCATTTCTAGGGTTCAGTTCATCGCTTTAATAATAATTGTTTGTCATAGCCCGTTGTAAATATTTTACTTTTTATAAATCTTCCATTGGCCAAGTCCTTGTGCGATTCCATGAACTCCAACAAGATTTACCACTGGCACTCTCTTATTTTGAATGACATTATTATCACAGTAACATAAATTGTAAGTAATTAATTATTTGGTACAATAGTTACTACAGTATACTACAGTAGACTGAAAAAGTGCTACAACCTTAACTAGTTAAAGACTGGAACTTTTACCTTAAATATGTAAAAGTAGAATTCCTTATTGAGGCCCACTGTACGGCATTCTTGACAACTGTCAGAAATAAAATAAGTACAGTTTATGATAGGGTTGCCAACCATCCTCTATTCCAGAGGACAGTCCTCTTTTTGATCTCGCTGTCCTCTTTTCTCTCACGTATTGAAAAAGTCCTTTTTTTACATACAAAATTCAAAATCTAAAAAATATAGGTATATTTTTGTTACGACAGAGGTCTGTCGCCACAATGCTTTACAAAATTGTTAATCTGTGTCTTTCACTACTCCCGCTCATTTGTACAAAAAAAGGAAAATTTATGTACAAGAAATTAGTGGAAGCGATAAATATGTTTAATTATTTTATGTTTACTTACTGTTAGCTTATGTTTAAAAAAAGTTTTTTTTGAAAATGGTTTATTTTAACAAGTTTTGAATATAAACATTTTTAAGGAGGTAAGAGAGACCATCAATCGTCTACTGTTGGGCGAAATTTTAAAAAGAATGTTTCGCCTCTGCCCCTTTTTTACTCTCTCGTCCTCTATTTTTTATTTTAAAAGTTGGCAACCCTAGTTTCTGAGTACAAAGTGTGCGTTTTATTTTTCCTGTGTCCTACAGCATTTTTACTCAAAAACTAGTTCTAAAACTTCTCAAGTTTTATCAGGTTATGGGTCCAACCAGGCTCACACCGCGGACATACCCGATTTAAGTAGTTTTCAATCGTAAAGCGGGAATTGTCAGTGAAATTAACTGTTTAGCGTCGATAAAAGTATATAGTTTTCCAAAATGCCCGTCAGATTACTCAGTCGCGACAATTACGCAGAGTAGTTTTTTGCTGTCGAAAGGACTTGAAAAATGTGTGACTGGAACAGACTCAGCTTTGGTAGCCAAAGCCAAAATGAAATTAATATTGACACTGGATCCAACAATTTTTGTTCATATCAGGGAGAAGACTTCGAGATGTTTAAGATACGTTGAAACGAATGTATGAAGACAATGATTTCCTGCGTAAAATTTGCCTTTTACGTAGCCTCATTTCACTTCGCTACGGAGATAGTAATTTAATGGAAGCATACGTTACTCAAATTAATGAAACTTCCAGAAAATTGAATAGAACCGGCTTCAAGATAAGTGAAGAAAGCATCGAAAGTCAGACTTCAGTAATCTTAGGATCTTTTGAAGTAAAGTTATGGTGAGTTCCTGCAGAAAGAAGAATAAAATTTTACAAGAAATCTAGAAAAATGATAACTGTTGGATATTTAGAACAAATTAAAGGAAGCAGATTGAATGATCCAAGTGATAAATCTGTGATGTCGTTTTTAATGAAAAAGCTGTAAGCAGTTGTAATGTATTTGATTCGAGTATCCCAGATGATAAAACCCTTGTAAATATACAACATTCAGTGAGAGAAATAAACGATTCAGATATAAGTGAAGATATTCTGAACCATTCAGATATATACGATCCAAACGAAGACATACCATCAAGTAGTGATGAATCTTTACCAGAGAAAGAAACGCAGCAAATCTTGATGACTATGTGACTTACGCTTGCAAACCAGACATTAACTTAGAGGAGGTTCCTTGTAGTGTATCTAATACACCCTGTCATTTCATTCTTTTTTCAGGGGAATACAATTTAGATGGTGTCAAAGACATTCAATGGGGTAGGACTCACGAGAAAGGTACAATAGAGCATTTGGAGCAATGCTATAATTTAAATAATAAGCCAACAGGTGTATGGCTTACAAATTCTGGCCTCCTTGCTGCTAGCCCTGCTGGATTAATTGAGGAAGAAGAAGCTATTGTGGAAGTGAAATATCCTTATACTTTTATAAATGATCTGTTGTCAGAAAAAAAAAATAAAAAAAAACGACAAATATGTAATTTATTATGATAGTGAAGGAAAGCTAGTATTAAATACAAAGCATAATTACTATCATCAAATTCAAGGTAATTTGCACATTTTAAAGAAGAAAATATGTTATTTATGTATATGGATTAACAGTCGACCCGTGTGTGGAATTGTCAGTTACCTCCATCGGGTGCGTCCCTATGGGAATTAGGGGAAGCTCACTGGATCTGCAAGTAGACTCAGAGGGTAGTGGAGAAATAAAATATCCACCGTGAAATAAAAACTGACCCGGTCCTCCAGGTTTGGGGGTTGAGGCATTAGACTGGTTCTCTAATACTCGGAAAAACTTACACCTACCAAAAAACCCAAACGAAGCCTCGGAACATTGGACGAATCACTAAAACGACAAAAACGGCAAAGAAAATGGACTATGAATTTCGCTACATGGAATGTACAGGGAATTAGGCTAAAAAAGGACATCATCGCTGCTGAAATGCAAAAACAAAACATGAATTTAATAGCATTTACTGAAACCAAGAAAAAAGGCCAAGGCACCGAAAATGTTGGAGAATATATTCATCTCTATACCGGAGTGACAAAAGAAAAAAGAGCAGCCAGAGGAGTATCAGTTTTAATAAAAAAGAGCTGGAAAAACAAGATTAGGAATTGGGAAGCTGTTAATGAAAACATCCTAACAATCAACATCATATTATATGGCTATAATATAATCATCATAGCAGCCTACGCACCCTCAGAGGACGAAAGAGACAGTGTCAAGCAAGACTTCTTCGACAAATTAGATCAGCTCCTAGAAGATTTTAGTAGATATAGGGATGTTATATTGCTGGGCGATTTCAACGGACGAACGGGAAGAAAAAATAACAGCCAAATAGTAGGACCCTTTGGAGAGGCAACAACTAATGATAACGGTGAAAGACTTATTGATCTTTGTGAAACTCACGATCTGAAAATTAACAACGGCTTTTTCAAGCACAAAGACATTCATCGATACACATGGACACAAAATACCCGAAACCTCAAATCTATAATCGACTATGTGATAAGTAAACAGGAAACACATATTGAAATAAACGACGTAAGAGTCCTAAGAGGGATCACCTGTGGATCGGATCACTTTTTAGTAAGAGCCAAAATAAGAATACATTTTAGAAAAATGGATAAGCTCCAAGAAAATCATAACACTGGGATACCAATGGAATTAATGAATACAGTACAATATAACTTTAACAGCTTTAATGATGACAGTACTGTGTTTTTGTATCAAAGACGACTCGATAGTAAGCTCTTGGATCCTGAGGAATGCACATTTAATGAAATCTACGAGAACATTAAAAGTAGTCCAATTGCCGCTACCAAAGAGGCAATAGGAACAAAAGAATACTCTACCAACAAGAAATTCTGGTGGAACGATGAGATGGAGTCTTATGTCGAAGAAAAAAAACAAAAATATCTGAAATGGCTATCTACTAAAACAGAACGCGATCTTGAAGAATATAAGATTTCAAAAAGGCAACTAAGGACACATATTAACAGAGCTAAGAACAAAGCATGGGATATAAAGTGTGAGCAAATTAATAACTACATAGGTGGAAGAAAATGCTCAGAAATATGGAAATGTATTTCAAATATTAAGAACCCAGGAATAACAAATCTAATATACACTTAATTAAACCTGAACAATGGTTCGAACATTATAGGGGCCTCCTTCAGGAATCTAGACAAGAGTACTTAATTGATTCACCAAGAAACATCGACGTACAGGGAAAAGTAGTTGAAATATCGAAAGAAACAATAAGAATGGCTGCCAAGAACTTAAAATCAGGCAAAGCAAGCGGCCCAGAAGGAATATACTCCGAAATGTCGAAAAATGCAGAAATTTCATTTAGAAGCAAGTAACTACCGTGGTATATCAGTGACGAGCACAATGAGCAGGTTATATGGTAGAATTTTACGGAATCTCATAGAAGAAAATTATAGAGAAAAGGAGGAAGAAGAACAGAATGGTTTTAGAGCAGGAAGGTCGTGTACAGATAACGTGTTCTGTTTAAAACAAGTTATAGAAAAAAGATCGGCAAGAAACTTGGACACACATATAACATTTGTTGACTTACGGAAAGCGTACGACACAGTCCCAATATCAAGACTATGGAGGGTACTAGAACAATCTACGATCAACCATACTTATATAACAGCTCTTAAGGAACTATATAAGAACGCAAAATCAAAAATAAAGGTAGGAAAGGAGCTTACAGAAACATTTATAACCGACAAAGGCTTGCGTCAAGGTTGTTGCATCTACCCTACTCTCTTTAAAATATACGTTGCAGTCGCTTTAAAAAATTGGAAAAGAAAGATCCGTGGTATGGGCATAGAGATTGACAATGAATGTTTGTTCACTCTTCAATTCGCAGACGATCAAATAATAGTTGTCAATGACAAAGACGATATGCAATATATGCTAAGAAAACTTATTGAAGAATACGGAGAATGGGGCTTGACAGTTAACATAGCCAAAACAAAATATCTATGTATAGGCGCACAAGAAGGAAACGTGAACTTGGACAACGGTCACGAAATTAAGCAGTGTCAAGAGTATGAGTACCTGGGAATTACATTTGATAACACTGGAACTGACGGCAGAGAAATAGAGAAAAGGATTATCAACGCGAAAAAAATAATCGGATGTCTAAATGGAATCTTATGGAGCAAATCAATAACAAAGCGAAGAAAATTCAATATATATGAAACCATGATAAAGAGCAACCTCCTGTATGGAGCAAAAACATGGAGAATAACTGAGAGATACAAGAAGAGGATAGAGGCCGTAGAAATGGATGTCATTCGAAGATCAATGGGAATTTCAAGACAACAACGAATAAGAAATAATACCATAAAACAACAAATGGGTATAGAAGGTACGATAACACAGGATATACAGAAAAAGCAGCTGATCTGGTACGGACATGTAGAGCGAATGAAGGACACTAGATGGCCCAAGAAAATAATCAATTGGCAACCAAAGGGCAGAAGAAAACAGGGAAGACCAAAACTGGAATGGCAAAAAAGCGTACACAAAGCGATGAGTGAAAGAAACCTGTCAACAGAGGATTGTACGAATAGAACAGGCTGGAAATTGGGTATCGGACAACGTAGAAAAACGTTCTAAACCGACTAATATATATATATTAACAGTCGATATAGGGCAACTAGCCTAGTTATATGGTAGCAGTCGATTCAAGGGCAGCTAGCCTCATTCGAAGAAAATGATGCTTAAGAAGTGGTCCAGAGGCCGGAATCAGTGAAAAATGTTTCCATAACAATGGATATCTGGACATCAGATAGCAATCGCGCATATATTTCTTCAACTTCACATTTTATTCATGACAATAAACTATGTTCATATAATATAGCCACCCGAGAAATGTTTGGATCACATACAGCAGAAAACATTGGTAATGTATTGACGACAATTTTAAACCAATAGAATATTTACGAAAAAGTAGTCACTGTTGTGTCTGATAACGGTCTAATTGTGTCTGATATAAAAAAGCCATCAACGATAACTTAAAAAAGTATAATCATGTGTGTACGAGACGCTATAAAATCTAACCAAGTCCTATCCGGAATTTTAGAAAAATGTAGAACTCTGGTAGGACATTAAACATAGTGCAATGCAACAGAGAAGTTAAAGCATACTCAAGAGTAGATGAAAGTTCCTGCACTAAAAGTGAAACAAGATGTGTCTACAAGATGGAACTCCTCTCTTATAATGATGAAAAGACTTTTGGAGATTAAAGACCCTTTAGCAGTTGTGGTAACAAGTCTTCCATAGGCTCCAGAATGTTTGACTGTTTCAGAATGGATATTAGTCAAACAATGTGTAGCAACTCTAAAGCCCGCTGAAGTTTTTTACTACTATTCTCAGCGGCGAGCAATATCCGACGATATCTTTGATAATCCCACTCATAAGGTGTTTTCAACAACGTTTAAAAAACATTAATGTCCAAACTGATTGTGCACAGATTCTAAAATCTGATCTGCTAGAACACGTGAGCCGTCGTATAGGATCTTTGGAGCAAACTACAAATGCAGCCAAAGTAACAAGGTTTAAAAAAGCAGGCTTTGGTTGAGAACAAAATGCAAATAATGTTCAAAAATTGATTATAGAAGAGTTGTCAAGCTTAATTAACTCTAAACATATAGATGCAGTTGATGTCTCAGGTCATTATTCATGTAAAATGCCCTTTACACTGCATTGTAAACAAGTTTAGGTGTTGTTGAGTGAATGATATTTTTTGTTTTAGCTCAACAATCAACTGAAACAACAGCTACTGCAAGCCAAACATCAAATCTATATATTTGGTCTTTTTTTGACAACAAAAGTAAAAAGTAAAAGAATTTAGTAATTTCTGTCATATCTAGTAAATATGAGACCAGTAACATCATAAGTATGCCTTTACTGCGAAGGTTATGACGACGCAGAATACGCTTTTTTACTTGCGACAGGTGGTATATATACAGCTGAACATCGAGGAAGAAATGGAAGAACTATCCCTTGATCAAATCGTGCAAACAATGCATCAGAGCCAAGAAAAATGGAATCGCATATGTGGAAAATATGTTGAGAGAAAAGAAGAGCGACCTAGACAAACGTTGATACTCTATAAACAGAAGCGAGCCCGAGGCCGATAAAAATGGACATTGGGCTATATTTCCGACTTAATCAGTAAGCTTTTCAGAAAAAATGGTAAACTTATGTAAAGACAAATATAAAGAAGGTATCCGAGGAAATTTGACTCCAAACATGATGACCGAGGAATTAGAGCTTCTTAGAAGGGGTAAGAGCACAGTATATATTATAATAATAGTATAAAGTCAAACCTATGAAGAGGAGAAGCGCGATATTCCCAGAACAACATTACCCAATGATCTGAAATCTGGTATTTTCAAAAGAGGATTAAAGTAAATCTTTACTTACTCCTGATAGTACGAGAGCTAGCAACGTCGGGAAAACAAGTATTTTAAGACGTCTGGCTCTTTCATATATCTTATATTATGCTCTTTGGAACAGCATGCGGCCCGTCTGGCTGCCGATACCCGTTGCGTTCATTACTGCGCATCCAAAGAAGATCCTCTATTTTTTACTTAGCGCTTTAAATTCTAGTATTGAATAAGAATCGAGCAAGTCTCCATTAGCTCGGCGCGTAGAGCTTTCGCCTATGAAGCGAAGGTCAGTGGTTCGATACCGGCTGGGGGTGCAACTTTTTTATTTTTTTTTCGTTTATATTCTGATTGTAAAGTATTAAATATTTGCTTTTTTATCACCAGAACGGATGGCGCTTATGGGTTTATGATCCGTAGTGTATATAAGTAGAATTTGATACTTTCATTTGTTTTGAAGGATTATTGTGGTAATTAATTATTAGACAGGTTTAGGATGGTCCGGCTGCCGCGCCGGTAGGTTGCGTTCACTACTGCGCATCACATGTGTACAGGGTGTCCCATTCTTGTGCGTTTTTTGGGATTTCTCGTTTATAATTTCATTTTAAATATTTAAACATAATATATAAAAATTAACATTTTAATGCTTTATGAAGGTAATTTCTGCCTGTCTTTATTCAAAATATTTTTTTCAGCTGTTGTTTATTATTTTAAGAATCATTTTAATAACACTTTTTTTAACAGATTGTTATCTAAAAGCTACACAAGTTTATTTTCAGTTCAGTTTGTTAAGATAACGATGGAAAACAAAATTATCTGGTTAAATTAAATTAAATAAAATAATAATACTTTTTAAACAAGATTGATTAATGTTAATGTGTAGAAAATGAGCAAATCTAAGGGTAGAAGTTAGTTACGTAAAAAGTTAGGTAAAAAACTAACAAAGTAATGTGAAAAAAAACGCATCATTGTATTTCCACTCATAAACGAGAAATCCCAGATATCCCAATCCCAAAAAACGCACGAAAATAAGACACCCTGTACCCATGTGATGCGCAGTAGTGAACGCAACCTACCGGCGCGGCAGCCAGACCATCCTAAACCTATCTAATAATTAATTACTACAATAATCCTTCAAAACAAATGAAAGTATCAAATTCTACTTATATACATAACGGATCATAAACCCATGAACGCTATCCTTTCTGGTGATAAAAAAGCAAATATTTAATACTTTGCTATCAGAATATAAACGAAAAAAAAAATAAAAAAGTTGCACCCCAGCCGGTATCGAACCACTGACCTTCGCTTCATAGGCGAAAGCTCTACACGCTGATCTAATGGAGACTTACTCGACTTTTATTCAATACTAGAATTTAAAGCGCTAAGTAAAAAATAGAGAATCTTCTTTGGATGCGCAGTAGTGAACGCAACGTGTATCGGCAGCCAGACGGCCTGCATGTTGTTCCAGAGAGCATAATAAAAGATATATCAAAGAGCCAGACGTCTTAAAATACTTTCTCGAAAACGTTGCTAGCTCTTAGACTATGAAAATAAGTCCATCATTGGGATGGCTAAACATAAAGACCATAAAAATCGAAATGCAGTTAATGATGTGTGGAAAAGAATGCAAGATCATTTATCTATCCAGTGTATTATACAAGAACTGAACAAGTTAATGGCCACATTTCAGCCTCCAATTAAAAAATTTAAAAATAAAATTAT